GTATCATTTATTAAATTATATTTGTTTCAAATGAATTCAGAAGAAAACCAAGTTGTAAATATTACCTAATGAGTTTAATATGCATACATACCACATACATTTCTCAGAAAATAAATTTGTCTAGAAAACAATTTATTGTAGATATAATTGGCTTCATAAAAATAGTTGAAAATAAATGTCACACTGACATTTTCTCCCAAGTTTGCTAAATTTGTAAGATTTCTAATCATTTGTTCCTTTTTTTTGGTACCAGATATTGAACTCATGACTTCATGCTTACCGGGCAGGCACTTGTGCCACTGAGCTAAATCCCTAGGTCCCGCTTTTTTGGAAAATATTCTATTTTATATGTGAATTATATAAGTTGAGAATAACCTACACTAAAAAATCAGTCATGTGGCACATTCTCCAAGCCTGTGGTGGTTAATTCATTTAAATTTGGTTCCACATTTGGGGATCAAAGTTACCTCAATTATTTTTTGAGTCCAAATGAGTACAAAATGCTCTCCAAATGCAAAAAGCCTTTGAAAGTGCTATGGCCTGACAGTTATAATTTGAAGCATCCCTTTGGTCTTTGTACAAGTATCAGACTAAATAATTCTAAAAAAATTTAAAAAGCCTAAAACATTGTGAAGTCTGTTTGAGTCCTTATAAATTATTTCTATCTATTGAATAATGTTCAAAGAAAGGACACATTATATGCTATTTGTTTCTCTATAAATTTGTATTGAATGCAAATATTATTTAAGAAGATTCAAACAAGATTTTTGAGATTCGTAATTACTCCAAATATATGCTTCTCTTCATTTTGGGCTCAGCACGAATTTCACCCTTGTTCAGTTTCCAGGTTAAGGTAGGATGTAGGTTTATTTAGCAATTGGCTTATACACATCTGTTCTGCTGTGTTTTGGATTAAATTTCTTTCTAACAATAAATACGTCTTAGAGACAGTGTACTCATATCTGAATACAGGAATCGCTCCTCTGTCCCCTACACCTACAACTGAAATTTAGTTTTGCTATAAGGTTTCAATTCCTGAGCTTTGAAGAACAATGTAATGTAATTCTTATCATCATAGTTTACCCTGGATTAGAGTACTAACAATTTGGATAAGCAGAAAATTTGGAATCGCTTCTCTCGTTTCATTCTCCTCAGCATTCTTGACTCCCAGGGTGGCCTGGACCTCCTATTTTATCCCTGATCTGTGTTTTCACATAAATTAAGTTGTATTTTTGTCTAATTACAATTACACCTCTTTTTTGATAACCTTGTAAAGCAATGTAAAATAGTGATCTGTCACTACTAAAATGTAGCCCAAGGTTAAAATTATCTACAACGAACTACCTATGTTTTCCCTTAATAGGAATTTCAAATAGTTAAACATAATCAAATTTCTATTTAGTGAAAACAAAACAAGTAAAGTGTGTGGTCCTTGTAACTTTATTATTCATGGCCTTTTGTATTAAAAATAATCTATAAATATTCATCTTTCTAAAGCATAGCTTAAAGCATTGTTTTTCCTTGTATTTATTTAATCCTATTTATTAATGTAATGTACTATAAACTTTTGCCTCACTTTGAAAATTCTTTTTCTGCATTCGACATAGACGCTCTGTGTTTTGTCACTCTTGATATTTAGTTTTAATGGAACTGTTATTTTTACTGTACACATTTGGCCCATTATTCTAAGTTCAACTTACTTTTTATGTTGCCTATAAATTAAAATTGTACTGGTATAGTTCATGCACTGTGACCTGTTGGTAGGCTACATTACTAAGGATATCAAGTATTTTCTAGTATTTCTACATTATTAGTTTTATATCTTTAACATACTATAAAATTTTAATGTTTTAAAAAATGCATTTTGTGCCACTTTCTTTTTGTTTTTCTTCAGTGGAACTTAGTTCTCTGATAACTTCCAGTGAAATGGGCAAAATAATAAAGCAATTGAATCAGACCTATGAGATAGAGGATTAACATGAAATACTAAGCAAGACTTGTAACACTGAAGTATACTCTAAGAATTAGCTAATAATAGTTAATACATGTTCTTTTCTCGATGTTGCTAGAATTTATAGAATGTTTCTCAATATTAATTCCTTTGACAATATAATTTCAGTTTTTGACAAATCTGGAGTAGATTTTACAAAGATGAATATGATGTACAGTATTCTATGTAGACAAAGTAAATTAATTCTGGTCAAATTAAAATTGTATAAAACAAAGAATGAAAGAATTTATTAAATTTTGTACATTAATTTCTGCCAGATGTGTGTGCACATCTGTAGTCCCAGCATGTATTTGGCTTAGAGAGGCAGATAGTTGAGAGTTCAAGGTCAGCTTGTACAACATAGCAAGCTGAAGAACAGCCCAAACTGCCCACTGACACCCTGTCTCAAAAAACTAAAAACAACAGCAACAAAAAATTTTACATGCATTTTCATAAAAGTGGTTGAGCCACTAGGATTTTTAGTAGTTAGAGTAATAGTGCATTTAGAATGTGTAATATAAATGATAAAAATAGTTTAAGATCAAGTGTAGAAAATCAACATAAATTCTAAACATAGTCCTTAAGTATGTTAACTGAAGTCTCTTCCTTGTGACCACATGGTTAATCAGTTTTTAACTCTGAGTGTTCAACATGATTTTTCAAACTCTATCAGTAATATGTTGGTGATAGCGTGTGTGTGTATGTGTGTGTGTGTGTGTGTGTGTGTGTTGCACAATGAAGGTGTTTTTCCTCTTTTGATCTAAATTGAAAGCAAACAAATTCATATATATTCTTGGTAGTTGATATTGATTTGTTACCAATGGAACCACTATATGATGGGCAAAATATCTAACAAAAGCCATAGGTGAATTATGTTAAGAAAAAGAAATTATACTTCACTCAGTATATTTATCCATTTCCAAGTCACATCTATCTACTGGACCATAATGAATCATGCTGTAGAGTTAGAGATAAACAGAATCTTGTTACTTCTAGGTAACCTGGGTCTGCTTCCGTGATTTGGATCTGATTTGAATATTTAACTTCCTCTTAGAAAAACTGCAAGTAAATTACCAGAAGCCCCTGTAATTGTGCTAAGTTTAACAACATAATGATATTTACTCAGAGCAAGGACTAGATGAATGAATGTGATATAAATAATCTGGTCAAAACGGCACAGTGGCCCTGTTCCATGTTACCTTACTTTAAGGCATCTGGTACTATTTCATGTGTCAGAAGAGTTCACCAGATGAGCTGGGCCTGTGTTATTTATAAGGCTGCTATGTTCTCATGGAACTCTTTTTATGGGAAATGGCATTGCTGATTTAATAAGAAGGACATTGTTGGAGAGGTTGCAACAATATGCCATTTCCTCTCAAAAAAAACCCAGCAAACACCACTTCCAAGGCAAACTAGCTGGGATTGATGCTTTCCATCTGGTGGAAGTTTGAGAAAAATGGCCAAGATGTTATGTGACCAAAAAGCTAAACGTTGTGAGATGCATTTGCTTTTTTTTTTTTTGTATCTTGCTACAGAGGTTGGCAAAAGGCCTAGAGTTTGCATTTACTTTAAACCTTTCCTTAAACTTGTCTTTCAATTGCATTCTAAAGAGCACTTAAGAGTATCCTTATTATTAAAGTTTTTATGTGAGATTAGTAATTTATGGAGGGGCACATTTTTAGTTTATTCAGTTTCATCATCAAAATAAGAGACTATGACAATTAAATTAATTAATTGATAAAATTTGGTTAGTTATTCATATATCAAGTTAAAAGTATAGCAAATTTTGGTATTATTAAAATTATTTCATTAAATGTCAATTGACAGGGTAGATATTTTTATTGTTATTTTCTGGAGATTTAATTCTTCCCTTATTAGTTACATTGTAGACTGGGCTGAGGTTATAATCTTTCATTTTAACTATTTAGGCTAAAGATTTAAAGTTGTATACACTTAAGTAATAAATTATACAATGTTAAGTTCAAGAAATAAAACTGATTTCAAGATCTCTTGAGTCCAGCACTCCATGTACTGATACACATTATCTCCTGTAGTATTTTAAATTCACGTTCTTAAACATAATCTTTTAAGAGATAAAAATATGCTTCAAGCAAATTGTGTGAGATTAAAGATGAGTGTTTCCATAAAGTTTGCTAAACTAAATGTAACTGCCAGCATTCACCTTGAGTGAGTGTGACCTGTCCAGCCCAGGACAGAATTCTCCCCCACCCTAAGCTCCTTTGATGCTATGTGTACATTGTGGGTTCCAACTGACTGGTGAGTGAACTGGGCCTGAGGAACATCCACAGTGAGGATTACAGATGTCTCCAGCTCACTACTGAATTTCTCCATCCCACTCTAGAAACAATTGTAGATGTTTAGAGTTACTTCTCTTGATGTACTTTTTCTCAGTTCTGTGACATTTTTGTCCTAAAATGTGATTTTGATTCTGAATAATGCTACTTAAGACCTGATATTATTATACATCTATTAATTCATACACATAGTGCTAAAGCTTTTATCTCACTGACTTTCACAGCAATTTTACATGAAATGTACTAATACTACTTTTATTTTATAGTTAAGTATTTGGCCTCATACTTTCGTTAGGTAAAAAAAATCTAAACTCAACTTTTAAACAACCAATTAAACTAAAGATGACTGAACAGCAAGAGCAATCACAGATTTGCTTAATATTCGACCAAAACCAGCCTTATCTCAAATTTATTTGGATTCAGATTTAACTGCTTTTCTGATATCTCCACTTACAAAGATGTGTCATAGATACTTGAAACTTTCTAGCAAAGTGATCTTCATTTTCTTAAGCACGATACTTGGAGTAGAGTCCTATCATTCTGGTGTTTGAATAAATTCTTATTATTTCTATTTCTTGGTACCATCATGCTTACCATTCTAATTCAGGGAAGTAACTCATGTATTTGCCTTGTCATAAAAACCCATACTCCAGACTTCAGCAGTAAAGATTTTTTTTTTTTTAATTTTATTTAAGGAGAAAAGAGAAAAAAAAAGCAGAGAAAGGGTACAAGTTATACAGATTTACAGGATAAAGAGGAACTGGGGGAGTTTGCGACCACCAATTCAACTCTACAGAGAGTATTGCAGGATATTCTAAAAAAAAGAAAAATACAAAGAATCCAGAAATAGTGGCGGGGAGGCCACAATGAATGGAGCAGAGAACAAAATAAAGAAGACAAACTGACAGCTACTGACAGAAAAAGAGCTCAACAGAAATGAGGCAGAGAAGATTGGATGATAGGAACAGCTATTTTGGAGAAAATGACATCTTAATAGGTAATACTGATTTAGTATCATCTTGTTTTGAAGTCTCATCTAGCTTTTGTTCTTCTGTCTCCATGGTCTAAATAGGTTGTATCTTATTGGATTTTGTTATGTACGATAGTATAAGCAAAAACCTTTTAAAGACAAGGAGATTATACAGAAACCATTGTTCATTTTCTGTTAGTCAATTCTAAATACTCTGTAATGCTGTCATTCTCTTAAATGGCTTTACATTGTTTTGATATACTTAATGCTACAGTAGACGAAGTTGTACTCAAGGATTTCAAGGAAAGAGACAATATGGTAACTACTTTGGGTCGGGATTATCTGGTGGTGAAACACTATTCTGCTTAAATGGTTATGTTTTGATCTGCACTGTTTCGCTGTTATGCCCTCTTTTATCTCAATCTCCACTCCATTATTTACTTTTTTATTTTTATCCGTTTAATTAAAGGAAAAAAAATAGCAGGATATATTATAGTAACCCACTTTGACTTTCCATTATCTCGATTTGAAGCCCTATATTACTCTCACCATCTTGTTTTTGACTGATGTTCCCCTATTCTGTTTTGCTGGATAGTATCAGGTTCGAAAGTTTAGGCATCAGCTGTGAAGATAATGAGATTCAATATAACGCCCATTCTTGTTGACTTTTATCTACTTTTGAAGACCTACAATGTCTCCAATGTTTTGGTTTTGTCGGTTTTGTCCTTTACTGTTTTGTTCAATTGTATTATAACTAATGATATAGGCAATTCTTTTAGAGATAGCGGGAGGCATTATGGTAACCATTGTTGATCACCTTGTATTATGTTTTTACATTATCTAGCAGTAAAGAATTTTAAAGGAGAAAAAACAATGTAACTCTTCTCCTTAACACAGTTCATAATTTTCTCAGTACTAAAGGGTTTAATTTCATACTTGAAGACAGCCTTTGGAGTTGCTCTTAACCTGATTTTCTTCTTGCTTCTTATGCTCTAGGTATGACAGACTGATATAAATTCTACAGTGTCCTCTTTTGTCTTAGTTCTTTGAAACCTGACATTACCCTCTGGTCCTATTCTTCGTCTTCGTCCTCTAAGTTTTTCTTCTCTTCCTTATATGGAAGGCATGGAACTATCACATCTGAGCATCAGGTAAGCACTGCCTGTGTGAAGCTTGAAGCTTACATTTTAATTTGAGAAAGTACAAAAAGTCATATATATATATATATATATATATATATGTATATATATATGCATATATATTTATATTCTATGTCCAGAACGAAGGACATTTTTTATTTTTGGGAAGCTGGGAATTTAATTCAGGACCTTGCACTTGCTAGATAGGCAGTTATGCCTCTGAGCTATATCCCCATCCCTTTCTTTTTTTAATCTTTGATACGCATTCAGATTAGAGTTCCATAGACATTTAATAGTTATTAGCTGTTTAATACAAACTGCAAATCAACAGAGGTTATCTTTCTCATTTACAGAGAAGATTTTGAAAATATTCTGTTATAGTCATAAATTAGATCGTTTATAAAATTGACACATTTTTCTTTTATTTCAAACTATTATTATTATATGTCTAAAACTAATGATACTCTTTTCCTTGTTTTTTTTTTATTAATTTTGCTTATATTGTGATGTCTATTTCAGTTTTAATTGGTCCTTTATTCATTACACCAAGTAAACTGCAGAAATGTTACGGTCATTTTTTTGTTTTAAGAAGACTGAAAATACAAGGGGTAAAATATGCAGGTTTTCCTCCTATTACAAAAACATGTATTAGAAATTATCCATAATCAGGAAGGGGTATTATTTTTGCAAAGATAAATGAAATAAATGGAATTAAACATCTAATTCTATTTAACAATCATAAAATTTTAATTATAAGAATTGGTAAACATTTTACACTAACAGTAAAAGAAAGGATTATTGAAACACATTATTGTTTCAAATTGCTTTTTAAAGAAAGTCCCTAAATCACTGTTCCAAGACCAAAATACATAATATCTTTTACGTATTCATTTTGCCATTCAGTTTTTTTTTTTCAATTTTTACTTTTTATTAGCCGTGCATGCATTTTGGAATGGTCACATTTCTGGCACGGAGCTATGCAGTGTGCAACACAGCCTGATTTTTTCCCACCCCTTTCCCCTGCCTTCATCTCCCTCCCTCTACCTCTTTACCTCCTTCCCGTTTGAAAAAAGATCTGCCTCTCTACAGTACACTATATATTTGAAATGAAACACTTCAAGTGAAATAAAAATTCACTTGATGGATAATAGTTAATTCCTAAAAGTATCATAAGAAAGTATTTTTAGATAACGAAACCATCTGAAGGTAAGGATTCCCAAACACGTTCTGATGACCTTCAACTCCAGAGGACCACTCACCTATGACACTGATTGTTGTCCCTTTTCTGCTCACAGAATTTCTTCTGCAGTCTTTTTCCTAATGCACGTTAAAATGTAAAAACAAACAAATCTTGAACATTTTCCTTCAAAATGGTTTATCGTTTGACTAGTAAAGTTTTAAGTAAAATACTTGAAATATAATTCATAAATGTAGAGAATTACTTAATTTTAAGATAATAATACAACACACATGTACATATATCACATGACTTTAGTGCTTTAATAAATAATTCACTAAAAATAACATGAACAAATGAAGATATAATATTCAATCCTACTATGAATATATAAAGTCTAAAATGTAACCGTAATTTTGAAAATAAAAAAAAAAATTAAAGTATTTCCTTGGTGAGTTGCTATTTATATATCAAAATGTATTTAAAAATCTTTGTACATAAATAACTGATGTATCATTAAAGAATTCAAGTGGGAAATTTTAAGGAAGTCCTTTATAAAGGAAAAGTATGTTCTTGAAGGTAAATCTCTTTTGTGAAGAGGAGCTATTACAATTGATAATACAGACATACAAACAATTATGACACTTTATGAACAAACGTATGCCAAAAAATTGTACAAATTCAAAGAAATGGGTAAGCTCTTGGAGTCATAAAAGCTAACAAATTTGGATGATGGAAAAATACAGAAGATGAACAAACCTGTAATGAATGAGAAGAGTCACAATATATAACTCATCAGTACTATTCAAGTTCTACTAAAACTTTGAAGGAACATTATAAAATCATTTGGTGAGGGTTATATTACTCTGATACTAAATCTAGATAGGAGCATTACAAGAAAAGAAAATCATATGCAGCATCCTTGATGAATGCAGATTCAATGAACTGCAACAAAATATTAGCAAAACAATCAAGAGCACAATAAAATGATTATACATAATTATCAAGTAGAACTTCTTCCTGTGATGCAAGTGTTTCACCATAGGCAAATTGATAAATGTGGTAACACCATAAAAATGGAATAAAATACATATCTCTGTGAATGCATTGCAAGCTGTTGTCAAAATTTAACATATATTTAGTACTTAAAATGCTCATGATATTCTGAATTGAAGGGATGAGTTGCCAGCATACTAAAGGATGACTATGACCAGCCCAAAGCTTGATGGCAGAGAGCTAAAAGATTTTCTTCTAAGGTTGGAACAAAACAAATATGACTCCCTCCCACTGCTTTGATTCAACAGAATCCTGGAAGTTCTGTCCACAGCAAGAAGATGAGAGGAAGAAAGGCAAGTCCTCCAAATCAGAAAGAATGATATACAACTGCCTGGTTTCAAAGTGAAGCTATCTAGAGAAGGCTCTAACAATGCTGCTAAACCTCTGCAAAAGCTAATAAATGAATTCAGTAATGTAGCAGGATGTAAAATCAATGCCTAAAATCTATATTGTTTCTATAAAATAAATAACTATTTGATAAGGAAATTTAGAAAAATCTCACAATGGCAGTAAAAAGAATGAAATGGATACATTTTAATCATTCAGATGAAACGTACAGTAAAATCTATTAGGCATTAATGAAAGTAATTGAAGAAAGACACAAATGAATAGGAAAATACCTCATCTTTCTAGAACTGAAGAGTTAAAATCACTAAAGTATCGTCACTGTTTTAACTATGATTCAATATGTGAATTTAGCTCAATTTAAAAAAATCAGTGATTTATAGCAAGAGGAGAAATGTTCTCAAACTCATATGAAACCACACACACACACACACACACACACACACACACAAAACCCTAAATAGAAAAACAACCCTGGGAAAGAACAAATCTGGGGTGGTATCACACTACCTGATCTCCAAATAAACTACAAGTCCATGATAATCAAAACTATGTTACTGGTATATCAGAAGACACATAAACCAAGACAATGGAATCTGGAGTCTCGAAATGTGCTCATATGTCTATGGTCAAATAATATTTCACAAAGTTGTCAAGAATACACAATGCAGAAATGATGAAATGATAAAATTTTGCTATTGGCTCTAGCAGAAGTAAAAAACAGTTATGACAAGTTTTTACTTTTAAGGATGCCACCTCAGCATTTTAATCTGCTCAAATTCAAACTTTCTTAAAAAAGGGTTATTGAAGATAAAAAAAAAAATTGAAATTAAGAAATCCTAATGGCTTACATTTTTTAAAAATAAGTCTCCAATCTCCTAGAAAGTGTTTTCGAGATGCGTTTCTCTCATATGCAAGGCCGCCTTATTCTGTTTGAAGTTTGTGAATTCTCAGAGGCCTTCTGTCTTCAACCTTTGCGTTCTGATCTTCTGAATCCCTGGAAAGTTTCTACAGAGGTCTTTGTTACACTGTCCAGGTCTACTTGATCGTTTCCCTTGCACACACGCAAGTCCATTTGCAGAAGTTTAATATTGTGGAAGAGACCTCCGTTCCCTTGACTTCATGTTATTATTTTGAGGAAATTTTCTTGAGAACAACCCCATTGTTTCCCTGCTATCACAGTTCCTGGAGGGTAGAATGACTTCCTGTAACAAGGAGCAGGGTTTGAGCACGTGGACACAACCCCTGTCCGTTTGTTTTTGCTACAGACTAACCTGAAACAGCAGCACATTGCACCTGGCTCTTTACTTGGAGATCCTCTTGCAGCGCTCACCGAGACTCAGATGGAGCCAAAGAAAGTGTTTCGTGTGTCTGGTGCAGTAGCAATGCGGGTAGCGACGCTGTCCCAAGTGAGGACATTCACTCAGCGTTTCAGTCTACAGCTAACATTTTTATCCAAACTGCCATGTTTACTTAGAACTGAAAGGAAATAGATTGTTTTTCTTATTGATTCATTTTATTTTGGACAATAGAAGTTGGTTTGGCTTAAGCATCATCCTGCTGCCCACTTTGGGTGTTACATTTTCCTTCTGAATTGGATAAGATATTCCTTGGATTTGAAAATTGTTTTCCCAGTATTTTCATGCATGCACTGTTTTTTTGTTTGTTTGTTTTTTTACTTCAAGTTCGTTTTTCGTACACATTTTCTGTATAAAACTGATACTTACCATATAGTACCAGACACCAAACCTGCCTAGCTTTCAGTCTGTTTTCTAACCCTTTTTACTGACTGTACTTCAGTAGTTTTGCTTTTTGCCAGATGGAAACAAAAATAATGCTACACTCCTGTTGTCTTGTTAATTACCCAAAATAATATGTAAAGGAATTCTGACACTTTTAGACTAATTGTTAGCAGAGCACACCATTTCATTTTATCCTGACCCATATGCATTCTCAGAAACACACGTAAGTAGAATCACTAAAAAATGTAATTACATGACTATTAGGTCACATTTGCATATTTCCATAAATTTGCATACAAAATATTTGGGTAAAAGATTTTTCCAGAAGGACTGAAGATAGAAGAGTTTTCAATAATTATCTCAATAGTGGAAGACTGTCATCCTAACCATGTTTTCTTTGGTTTTAGGAAAATATCTCCTATGGGAAAAAATAAAAGCCTATACAACTTATTTAATATGTCATTTGGTCATCATGTATTCAATAGCCATTGCTTTAATATAATGATTTAACAGAAGTTTAGGAGGCAGGTAGTTTTATTAACTTTATTCTTAAATTTCTTATGGAATAGAAATAAAAATATGCAAAGTAAAATCCAGTTTCAGCAGAGAAATATGATTACAGCATTACTGGTTTTTAATAAAACTAGGAAAAAATAAAATAACTAGGAAACTAAATGGCAAGATAATGGAGTGGAATAAAAGATGTTGAAATTATTTTGACATTGATATGTGATGTCTACAACTGAAAGTAAAGTTTCTAAAACAATTTATCACTAGGATATACATTTTAAGTAATCTTTTATTATCTAATTGAGTAGGAATTGAAATAAATCTTTTATTTCAATTGAGTAGGAACTTAAACCTGTGAATTTGAAATTTAGTAATTTATCTCCATGGTAAGAGTTGTCCTCCGAAAACCATCATTTTAGAGCAAAATAATAATAATTTCAATAAAGTAAGAATATTATTTTGTGAGAAGTCAAGACTAAGTTGAAAATTACATATAAGAATATTTTAGGATGAATAGAAATGAATTTTATCTACTTGTGTTCAAATTAAAACATACTTAGAGATTGGTTAACACTGATTTATTAACTACAGCTGTTTTGTTATGTCATTTTAAGTTTTTATTTGCCTATATTCTGTATTTCTAATGACTTAAAACTTTTATTCTCATATTTCTGAAACAATATTTTGATGCAATAAGCAAAGCAATAAATAGTTAGATCTTACTTCAAGAAGAAAATTTATGAAACAATTAACAGGCAAAAACATGTCTTTGACATGTCTGAATTTTTTCATTTATTATAAATACAAATAGTGGAGATCCACAACTTTATTGAGGGAAGTGGCTTGTTTACAGAACAGTATAGCTGGATATTAAATGTGTTATTATTTAAAAGTCTTTTGAAGTAGTTTTATTGATGCATGAACCAAGTTAAGTGATGCGAAAATCCAACTCTGAGGTTTTAAGCATTCAAAATATCATGCGGCACCATGAATTTGGCCCACTTGTTGACTTGAGATGTCAAATAGTATTTTCCATTTAAGTAAAAATAATAGCAGAGAGTTTTGAACCAAAGCATCATTTTAAATAAATGTAGGTTTTCATCTTATGTAGAAAGTCTTCCTTAGGTAGAAAACTGAAGTGGACACACTGTATGAAACATTGAAAGGAAGATCTAAGGCACTGTCATTTATCAGTGTTTCTAATTCTGAGGTCCTTTAAAGTCTCAGGACAGTAGTTTATTGCCAGTGAGTTTGGGATGGTTGAGAATTATGACACTAGTATTCCTTTCTCTGAGAGGTATACCATGTAATGATTAGAAACAGATTTTTCTGTGAAAGTCAAAGACAAAACTAAAATAAAACAGGTGTTGCCTGTTAATAGTTTCAAACTCATCATCTTTTACGAGGATTGTAGATTTATGAATTCTATATTTATCAATATTTATCTATATGTAGGTTTTTAATAAAAGGCATGTTTTTATATGAACATCATTTTGATATTATGGAAGTCAATGCCTTGTGCTCTAAAATAGTCTGTTTCTCTCTTTCTTTCTTTGTTCTTTCTTTCTTTCTTTCTTTCTTTCTTTCTTTCTTTCTTTCTATTTCCTTGTTTGTTTCTTTTATGTCCTAGGAAACTTAAAATATTTGCCCTGACACTCTTAAAGCTAGAAATAGTTATAGAATTCAGGTTTGATCAACAGTATCTGAAAGAACCACTGGGAATTTTTTTAATTAAAAATGAATGAAATGTATCATTCTCTTCATTTCTTGACGTCTGTACATAAAATTTTGGACTCAAAGCATTGAATTTGTGACCATAAGTGGAGGCATAGTGCATGAGGTGATGGTGACATAAGGGAGAGATGAGAACTGCTATTTTAGATTGTTCATTACCTTGTGACATAAATGTCAGAACTACCAACTGTCATTTTCTTATATAGTGAGGTAATCAACTCCTTTAATTTTACTTTTAAAAAAGAATACATACAAAATGAATTATATCCTAATCACTTTGTTTTATTTTCTTTGAAATAAAAAGAAAATTAAAAAGGAAAGCCCATTGTCACAATTTCTGCTCAACATAATAGTAGACATCCTAGCCAGAGCATTTAGGCTATCACAGCAATAATCAGAAGACATCTACACTGAGGTAGAAATAACACTGTCTTTGTTCACAGATGACTGCATCTTACATGTTAAAAAAAAAAAAAAAAAAACCTAGACTCTACTCATTAAAATTGTAATCACCATATAACAATCAATTGGATTTCTGATCCTTCTAAATACTAATAATCATTTTGAATAGGACTTTGTGAAAACATTTGCATTTTCAATCACATAAAAATCTTAGAAATTAACTAATAAAGCAAAAGACTTGCCTGGTTAAATCACAAAACTTTGGGAAAAGAAACAAAGAAGATAAAAAAGGAAATACATTTGCAACCAATTTGCTGATAAAAAAAATTCCTTGACAAAATTTCAGTTTTTCTTGGAGAACTAGAAAAATCTATTCTACAGTTCATATGGGATCTTAAGCAACCTTGAATATTAAAAAGAATCATGAAATAGGAGACAAAAGCAGTGTTATGTAAAGACAGACACATAGACCAATGGAAACAAATACTTGTGTATATAATCAAGTAATTTCTTACAAAAGCACCATGGCTATTTACTGGGAGTATGCTTTTCAATAAACTATCCTGGAAAACTTCAATATACTTACACAAAATAGTGAAGCTTTATCCTCACATAACTATGTATACAAAAATAACTCAAAATGGAAATATATTCTAAATATAAGACCCTAGCACTATGAAAATTCTGGAAAAAATATAGAACAAAACTTTCACACTTGTAAAATGATTTATAAGATAGTACTTTGGTATTTCATAGTTTTTTTTTTCAAAATTTCAAACTTAAAAGGACCTACCAAAAGTATAAAAAGTAACAAGCATGATGGAAAAGAATTCTGAAATAGTTTATCTGATACAGTGCTATATCCAAAATATACAATGGATATACAAACTCAGTGATAATGAAAAATCAAACCACCCAATTTTAAAATGTACCTAAGGCTTTAAATAGAGATTTACCTAGAGAAGGTATACAAATGACCAATAAATTCATGAAAATTACTCAGTATCACTAATTATCGTAGAAATTTAAATCCAAACTATAAAAAGATACCATCCCACATTCATTAGAATGCCTACTTTCAAAACTCCCAGAAATAATTAAGTGTTGGTAAGAATTGGTAAGAGTTTTATAATTCATTATATATATATATATATATATATATATATGTAGCAGGATCAAAAAGTGGTATTTGTGCCTCGTATTCATAACACTATTACTTGTAAATGGTAAAATATGGAAGCACTTTTGTATTTCTGTATAAATAAATGGATAATCAAACTATGGCATATACATGAGGAAGTATATTATTCAGCTCTAAAAGGGAATGGAATTTTGACAGTCACAAAGAGACAAGTAGTGTATTTTTCAATTAAATAACATACTTAGAGTAATCAAAATTATAGAGACAGAGGTAGAACAAAGCTTTCCAGGCCAGTGGAAGCAAAGCCTGAGGAGTTTTTGTTAATGGGTAGACCATTTCTATACTACAGGATGAAAGCAGTTCTGGAGAGAGATGATGGGAGATGGTTGCACAACACTGTAAACGTATTTAATACCACTGAACTGTACAATTAAAAATGGAGGAGGTGGCATGTTTATGTTATGTGTACCCACCAAAAAATTTAGTAAAGAATAAAATGAAGTTGTCATGTATGAAACATTATGTATTGATGTTGGGAATTTTATGCTGTGAGAAAGAACCAGTCATAAAACACACATAAAACATGACTGCATTTATAAAAAATGTTACAGAGATGTAAATATACAGGGATAGAAAGGAGAATAGCTGTTGTCTACAGTTAGAGCATGTATTTGAAAGCGATGACTAAAGACACAGGGTTTTATTTCTATATCATAAAAAGTCTTAAAACTGTCATAATGGAGGTACAAAATTATATTAACATTCATTAAACTGTACAGTTTAAAATCAGTATCATGACATTGAATTATAGTTCAATGTGGTTATTATACAAATGTAAATAACTTGCTGAGGTTTTAATTAGTATTACACTGAATCTATGATTAATTCAGGCTTGGAAGAACTGACGTTTGATAATATAATTTTCCCTTCTTATGTATCTGGAAGTATCTTTCCACATTCATAGGTCTTTGATTTCTTTCATTGAAATTTTGTCCTTGTTTTGGTGTGTGCGCATGTGTGTATCTTATTCAAATTAGTCTTATTTTTTGGAGATTGCAAATGAAAATGTTGTTCTACTTTTAATTTCAATTTCCTCTAGTTCATTGCTAGTAAAATGATAGAATTTTATGAACTATTCTTATACCCTACAACTCTGCTAAAACCTCTTACTTCTAGGAGGCTTTTTATTGATTATTATGGATTGTCTATATACAGAGTTGACATGTTGTCTGTGACAAAGATTTTTCATCTACAGTCAGTATATTTTAATTACTTTTTAATCTTATTATAATATTAGAACTTCTAGTACAATGTGAATAAGCAATGATGAGAAATCACTACTTTGCTTTGCTTCTGGGTTTAAGGGAAAAACTCCCTGTTTTAAGTCTGATGTTAGCTGTACGTGTTTATATATATTTTGTCAAGTTCAGGAAGCTTTTTTTAATTGAATTTTCATCGTGAATGAACGGTGGAGTTTTTCAAGTTATTCTTCTCTGATGATAAAATCGTGATTTTTCTAGTTTATTCTATTCATGAGATACTAAGAAATTTGTTTCTTGTGGTTGTATTTTTGTTTGTCTGTTTGATTTCACAGTTTTCAGGTTGAGTCTTGCTCATGTTAGGCAAATGCTCTATCAATGAACTGCATCCTTCTGATAGGCACAATCCTTTTTAAATACTGCATCATCATGGGCTTGGGATTTAGCTCAGTGGCTTAAGCACCTGTCTGGCAAGCGTGAAGTCAGAAGTTTGATCCCCAGTATAAATAAATAAATAAATAAATAAATAAATAAATAAATATTGCATCATCTCAAATCTGAGGTAAATCCATCTTGATTATGGCATATAATTCTTATTGCACATTTTGGGTACAGTAGTATAAAATTTTGTGGGTATTTAACTTTCTATGTTCCTTGAGATATATTTCATTAGGTTTTTATCTTTAGGACAATGTTGGGTTTATAGAATGTTAGGAAGTTTTTGAGAATACATTGAGAATAGGGAGGATTCCTTAAATATTTGGTAAAACTCCTCAGTGAAATCATCTTGACAGGTACCATCTGTTTTGGAAAGTTACTGATAACTGGTTAATGTATTTTATAGGTATATACCTATTCACATATTCAGTTTCTTCATGTAGATTTTGATAGGTTGTATCTGATAGGATTACTTCCAAAAGATGAAAAATATTTCCAAAAGATGAGAAGTATAAAACAAAAAGTGGCCTTTATTCTGAGAACACGGAGAGAGATGGCCGGCACCCCCCACCGCTGGCGTCCGGCAATCCCTCTGGTGGACACGTGGCGTGGGGGTATGTAAGTAGCCTCGATTTGGGGTGGAGCCTAAGGGGGGCATTAGGGATGCACAGGTAGCCCATTGGTCCTAGGTTTGGCGCCATATGTAAATTCCCAGGGGTGGGAAGATGGCGTTACAGATAAATTCCTAGGGGCGGGGGAGATAGAGGCTTCCTGCTTCCGGTTGAGGCTTTCCTGGCTACAGTGTCCTGTCTGGGCCAAAACCCTTTCAGTATCATTCAAGAAATTGGTCCATTATATTTAGGCTATCTAATATGTGTGCAGGGTTGTGAAAGGTATTCCTTGATTTGTTTTAATTTTCATGAGACCTACAGTAATTTTCCCCTCTAATACTAGTTGTTTATTTTTTATTTATTTTCTTATTTGTGACTACAAATTTGGCAATTTTTCTTGAGTTTTAAAAGTTTCAATATCAGTTTCATGGAGTTCCTTATTGATTTATTCTCTTGAATTTTAATATTTTATGTTCTCATTTTGTTATTTCCTTCTGCATTTATTATTTATTTTCTTCCTTGGATTTAATTCTATTCTTTCTGTAGTGTTTTATGTTGAAAATATTGATTATTGAGTTCAGATATTTCTTCTATTCTAATCTGTGATTTTATGCCATAAATTCTTTTCCAGTATTTCTTTCACTACTTCCCACAAGTTTTGATATTTTTAAAAATTTTTTTCTCAAAATAAATTTAATTTGTTAAAGTTAAAACATTAAAAAAGACTATCACATTTTCTCTTTGGAGAATTTATTAATCAATAAGTATTTTCAGAGATTCTAACCATCTTCCTGATATTAACTGCTAGTTTAATTCTACTATGGTTTGAAAGCATATATTAAAAAAATTATATATTTTTCAAAGTTGTGCTTTACAATCAAAATTATAGTACGTACTGGTAAATATAAGTTGATGAAACAATTGTTCTGATTTTAGGTGAAGTAATCTATTGATGTATATTGCATCCAGTTAACTGACTGCGTTGTGGAGTTCACTGATTTCTTCGCTGATTTTCAACATTTCAATTGTGTCCATTTTCCACAGTGGGATGTAGAAATTTTCACCTATAATAGAGAATTTGTCAGATTCTCTGTGCAATCCTTTCAATTTTTGCTTTGTCAGTTTTTATAACTTGTTGTTAGATGCATATACATTATGGATTGTTATGTTTTTCCAGACAGTTTACTCTTTGTACTTGTCCTAACTTTTTTCTCTGAAGTGTTCTATATCTGTACTTTGGCTATTCTTGCTCTTTAATTTAGCGTTTGTTATATCTTTTTCTTTCAACTTACTTTAAATCTTTGTGTCTTTGTATGTAGAGTGAGTTTCTTTTCTTATTTTATTTTAAAGAGAAAAAACAAAAACAATGATACAGAATTTCAAAACAAGATAATAGAAAGTTAGCAATGGTTAATATAGTGTATTGTTAACTTCAAAGTAGTTGTTCAGATTACAAGATATAGGCATACAAAGTTGATCTAACAATGTGAACGCAAACTGATTTTTCTGAGCTAAGATATCAGTAGTATGACTATCCCACAACTAACCTATCTTGTGTGTGTGTGTATATATATATATATATTTTTTTTTTTTTCCTTTTCTCTTCTTTGTTTTCTCCCTTTGCCCATCCAAGTCGTTTTTTCCTTTTGATGAGTCTCTTTCTCTTTTACAATATCTGTTATAGATTTTGAATCTTACTTATGTTTTCAGTTTCTTGCAAGAAGGAGATAATACGATATTTACAGATGTGAGTTTGATTTATTTCATTTAGGAGTATTGTCTTTAGTTGACCTATAAAAGCTTTGAGGTTTTCTTTCTTTATAGCCCAGTAGAATTCCAATATATAAAAATGCCACTTCATTTTTATCCATTTCTCAGTTGATGGACATTAGGATTATTTCCAAGATGTAGTTGTTACAAACTATATTTCTATAAACATAACTGCACATATATTGATGTTTTCACATCTTCTGGGAAGATATCCATAAGAGGAGTAGTTGGGTCAACTGGGACCTTTAATCCTAGTTTTTAAAGGAATCATCACACTGACTTCCACATTGGTTGCACCAGTCTGCACTCCAACCAACATTGGAAATGGGCTTTTTTTTTTTTTTTTATCCCCACAGCTACACCAGTATTTATTATTGGTTAATTTTTTGATGATAGCCTTTCTCTTTGGGGTGAGATGGAATCTTGGTGTTGTTTTCATTTGTGTTTCTTGAATGACCAATGATGTTGATGTATTTACTGTTTATATTTCTTCAACTGAGAATTGTGTATTCATCTCAGATGCCCATTTATGGACTAGGTCTTTAAATATGGGGGTCCTCATGGTTTTCAATTCTTTATATGTTCTGGATACAAATCCTTTGTCTGAGGGACAGTTGGCCAAGGTTCCCCCTACCCAACTGTGGGTTTTCTTTTACTCTGTTGGAGATTTCTTTTCATGTGCAAAAGCTTTAATAAGACGAGATCCCAGTTGTTGATTCTGATATTTTCCATGCAGCTTTTTTTTCAAATGAACTCTTTATCTGCCCCTATGTCTTCAAGATTTCAATCCACTTTCTCTTCCAGTAGATCTCGTTTCTGTTTTAATATTTACATCTTGCATCCATTTTTACTTTAATTTAGTACGTCATATCATTTCATATCATTCTTTTCTACTAATTTAACTGTTGGTTCTGCTGCTCTGAGAAGCATGAAGGTATTTATCACCTACAACTAGTTTCCAGATAATAACAAAACACTTTGACATTGTAATGCCTTGATATGAAGGGAGGACAGCAACTACTGTGCCTCAAAGAGCCAGGAGTCACACAGTGCCAGACTGTGGGCAAAGACATGTCTGAAGCTAACCATGCCTCTTATAACTCCAAGAACTCTGAGCTCTGCTAAGCCCCATGAGTGTTCTGCAGGAAATCTTGCTAAAGCACAGTGTATAAGGAAATGGAAACAGGACTTTAGTTCCAGTGGAATGCTGCTAGAACCACATGACAGATCTGAAAGAACATGAAGGCCAGACACAGCCAAGGATGGCCCTGGGATAGTTAAATAATTAAGTTCTCACTTAGCTAGTTTACTCCTCCCATTTCTTGCTTCTGCTTTTTGTAAAGAAAAGATTTTAATGAATAGTCAGAGAAAACTGCAATCAAGATCTCTGTCCTAGAGACTGTGGTCCCCCAGTCACATAAATTTATCTCTCTCTTGTTTTCTTTTCATGCACTTAACCTTGTTTTCAGTACCTGTCTCCTTAAGAAACCACCAGCGTACTGCTTCCTTCCCTTAGTGTGCAAGATAGATGAACATATTACTAAATTTCTATTAGATCATTGAACAGAAGGGTTTTCACTGTCCATGTCTGAGTATCTAGCCCCCTTTTATGCTTTGACTTTGTAGCTTAACAACTATTGTTAAGATGACAATATGTAATATATCAACTAGCGATTTTATGATGTTAATTTTTTAAAAATTCTGTATTATTCTACTTTTTTTTCTTTAATTTTCTTTTCTTTCTTTAACTAAAAAAAATTTTGGCAGAAAAAAGAAGCCACCAGCAGATCCAGTGAATAAAGTGAATGAGACACACTGAAGGGTTTTTCCCATCTGGCTGTCCATTGGCTGACACTCAGCAGCAGTGGTCACTGATGTATTTTTTCATTTTCTGATTTTTTAATGAATCCCCTTAAAGATATTCTTCAAAAATGACAAGAATGATGAATAAGCATCTTTAAAGTAGAAGTATTTTTTGAGGGGGATTGATCGCAATGTGCCTTTTATTGTATAAAATATTTTAAACATTAAAAAGTCATGTAAGAACAATTTAACTTTTGTTCAGTGATTGGTTCCTTTACCCAACACCATAGTAATTGATAATTTTAATTGCAACTCTATTATGAATTATATTCATACACTTAGTTCTTGTTAAATATCTAAGTACATAAAATTCAACTTTGTCAAAAGACTTTGCATGATTATTTCTTCCTCCTTATTCACATTTATTGAAGTTAAGTCAAATAGTTAAGTCAATTGAGAGCACAATAATAAATTCTTTCCTTGAAAGAATTTAATTTAGAGAATCACTTTGAGATTCACATCATATTTGTTAAAGTTTTTAATATACGAAGTTAGCTTAAATCTGTTTCTTTCCTCTGTTCTAAATATTTTTCTACTTCTCATCAAAATTTACTTAGGTTTTGCATTTGTTGGATGATAGAATTATTATAAATAATTTTTAAATTTTGTTTTTGTCATTTTATTTTTATCTACACAAATAAGCATGTAATAATATATGAGATAATACTAGAGTTTCATAATTTTAAAAATTTATAATAACTAGGGGAATATTTATGAGATAATAAGCAAAGAAAAAATGATGCATAAAACTAATCCACTGCATCTCTTGACAAATTCATTAAAACATTAATCTATGAGGTTAAATCCAGGCACACAGGCATCATGATAAAAAGAGTTTGAAAACCACTGCAAGTATTTCTGATTGAAAAGCTCTATACATTATCCTTAGTTGTCTCAACTATGTACGTCATTCCTCCTTTAAAGATGAAAAATTGAAGCTGAGAATTTAATTAACTTTGATCAAGTGACACTATTAATTAATACTGAGCACACTGTGGCTCATGCCTGCCTGACTGCACAGCAGGTGCTTTTCATGGTGACATGATTCTTCCTCCAAGTGCCGGCACTGGAATGCTAAAAGATGTGGAGGTTCCACTGGCTAAATCCTCTCTCACCAAGCGGGTGGGGGGGGTCACAGGTTTGCTATCCTCATGACAAGAAGGCTTCTGACACACTATTAAAAATATTAGTGTCGATCTGTATTTCTTTTAAACTGTGCACACCTTAATGCTCTTCAGAATAATTCCTTTTCAGAAGTACTACGGTGTCCCAAATGCTGTACAACTCTAGAGTGTCAGTTGAGGATTTTATGATATAGGATAGAAATTCATGTTTTTAGAATAAAGATGGAATTTCTGCACTCTTTAGTTACTACTATGTATTTTGCCAAGTGTAAGCGGCATTCACACTTCTGCATAGGGTGTTTAAAATTGTACCATCCCTAATTGGGGTAACAAACCCCTCCACACTTATATGCATTACAGTAAGCTTTATATTTATTCTTATTGCTATTCTTTAATAAACTTGAAATTTCTCAGGAAAAGGATTATTTCTCCAGAGTTTAATATGATCCTTGGTATTGTGCTTAAAATATACCACCTATAAAAAGACAATTGAGCAAATAATATTAACTAACTTGACTAAAAGTGAACATCCGTTTATCTACCATAATTTGTTTTCAAGTAGTCATAAACATGTTGTTTGGAGGTCGCACAAAGAAAACCAAAGGAGATTTGTAAGCTAGTCATTAGAAATAATTAAGAAAACTCTTCTAATTAT